GAACATTCTCCTCAGTTGTATGAGGTAGGAATGTGTGGAAGCACTCCTCTTTTCCAGAGTTGCTAAATGCAGACTTCAGCAATGCAGACTTCACTCCTCTTTTCCCTATTGCTAAATGCAGACTTCAGCAATGGTATACTAACACAGGGATGAGGAAGGTGTGGCCCTGTAGATATTATTGGATCGTTGCTTAGCCAACGTAAACAATGATGGAGGATGAATGGCATTCTGCTAACATCTGGAGGGTCACACATTGCCTATCTCTCCTTACAGGGAAACATTGTTCCAAAATGGCGCTTGTGATGCTGTACATATGCTGTACATAAACCTAGAAGTTTGTGCGTCTGCTACTTTAGGCTTGACTCTGGGTTGGTGATCCTGCACCGACTGTGAGCACATGAGATGTGGAGGTAACAAATACAGTATGTGGGAACACTTTTTACAAAAGGGATGTTTTCTACCTATCTTGGGGCAGGAAGGAGGGCTATGAGTGAGTGAGTCAAAAATTGCTGCATCTAGGACTTTAGTGGGCAGAGAAGGCATGACCCATCACACACCTTCATCCATCACAGGGACAGGATGCCATTGCCTCCAGTCTAACCCAATACAAGCTGTCTGCTTTCCTTGCACTGTCCTGAGTACTTCGGGAACCATAAGAGGCAACTGTACTCTGCCAAGAAGAGCTTGCCTCAGAAGGAGAAACATGAGAAATCAGTAGAGCTATGCTACTATTGTTAAGTGCCTTACCACCAGAGCTTAGAAAAATTATTTTTGGATTACAGCTCCCAAAATCCACCAGCCAGAATGGCCCCTTGCTATACTAGCTGGGATTCTGAGAGATATAGTTTGAAAATTAAACTTTTCCAAGGTTTGCCTACCATTGACTGCCTCCTATGCCAAGACAGCTAATTCTGCTATGAACACATCATTGGAGAAGAGCAGAAATCTCTTTTTCTCTCTCTTTTTAAAACCCTTACCTTATTATTTGATGTTCACTGGAGAATTAATGTTGTACTGAATTCTTGAGGATGTGTATATTTCAAAATAGGAAACATAAATTATAGCGTAGACAATTACCCATCTGATAGACATCAGCTGAAAAAGGAATATACTGTACCAAAATACTTCCTCTTCCTGATGTGTGTCTGTTCTTTACCACAACAGAAATGTGAGGCCCAGATGCTTTAGTCTGGTAATAGACAATGAGCACATATCCATTGTGGTGTGGGCTTTGAAGAAATAGCGAATGATCAAACTCCTGACACTTTATCTCACTTCCTGTGTTAAACAGGTGATGATTTTAAAAACGGGGACTGTTTTAGGAAGACCATAGCTAGATCTGAAGGAAATTTGTTGCTGAACAAATTAATAACATATTATTTTTAAATAAACAATAACCCTAGAATAAAACAATTGTGTGCTTATTGGGTACTATTCAAGGTTGCAAACAATCATGAAAGACAGTTTAAAAGCAAGATTCTAATCATTTGGGGAGAAAGGCAGAATATAAATCCAATGAATAAATAAAATGCAACATACTAACAAATCAAAACACAATTAAAAAAATAAGGTGCCGTAAGTGACCCAATTCAATAGTTTGGCCTCAGCGTTCTGAACTGGC